TTGATGTCACTGCGAAGCGTATGGCTGGGCGGTCGTAGGTTTACACTCCCCACGGGGGCAGGGTTTTCCATACTGCGGGTACCTACATTGCTACGACGAGTTCAGCGACTGTATGGAAGAGAATCGTTGCGGCCGGCTGCTCTAATTAAGTTTCACGTGATTTCTCCGATAAGGTCCTGGTGAATGCCGGAACAGTACCCTACGAAATAGGCCACGACCGCGCGCTGTCTTTTTTTCCTCTTCCTTGTCCTACCACACTCTTTACTTACACATACTTACGCTTACATGCAGCACACAACCACACATGGCGGGAGACCGGTCGGGAACTTCGAGCTACAGCCGGATGGGGCGGTGTCCCGCTGATGGGAGATACCTGGGTGTGGATACCTCGCTAGCCGACAAGTGGTTCAGCGCCGGATGTTGCCATCAAGCGGGAGAACACAACTGCCACCTTCCGAGCATGAAACGTGCGCTTCACTGGCGGAACTATTGACCTTAGCAGTTGATGCGTTCAGAATAACCAATAATTCAATCAATCCGTCAAGGATATCTTACATTCCGTGGTGAGACTCAGGCCATCAGACCTGTTCTTCCGACTGACCACGCTAATTTCTCTACGCGCCTTTCACCATCTAGCGGAGAAAGAAAGTTTTACTCGGACGATGAAACTGGCAATTTGAATTTAGCTCAGAGGCTTATTTTAGTCTTCAGGATCTTTCACGTAAAGTAAATCACTACAGGATCATCAGCTTTACTTCCTCTCTGACCTCTTTCCTAAAGAAGGCGTACGAAGAATTTTTCGCTCTTTAAAATCCACGGTTTCAATGAAGTTCTGAATCCACAAAATTCGGTATTACAACCCGATACGCCAACCCTGTCGCCGAATTTCAGTGAATGCTCCTCTAGTACTTCCGGGTGCAGGGCGTACTAAAGTCAAAAGTCCCGATGGCCCTATACGCGTAACAGTTGGAAGGTGGGGGTGATTCACCTCCGCTAACAGCAGAGATTTCCCTAACTAGGTATCTCCGCCATAGGGGCAGCGCCCCACCCAGGACTAGCTCTAAGCTTCCGACTACCTTCCAATTGGCGTGCTAGTGTAGTACGTATATGTGTAAGGGTAAGGCAAACGACACACGAGCGTCAAATGATGGACGTTAAAGTGCGTCGGTCTCAGCGCAGCACGAACACATACGGACCGTGACACAGTAGCATAGTGACTTCCGTTACCAGCAACGTCCTTCACGTGACAGACAACGGACTTTGACTGCTAGAATGCGTACGTTGCTCCTGATATACGCTGTATCTTCTTACGCATCCATAGCGAGCAGAACACAGTATACCAGCGACGTAAGTTATACGCCTCACTTCTGGTAATATATCACACTTGACTGTGGTATCTTGGCGTTTAATATGATCATGTAATTACGAAAGCAATTATCTGAAGGACTACTCACACATTCAGAAATAATTAGAAACTTTCTCACCGTCGTTGCATAATTTCTGAACGACGATGTTAAGTGTTTCCGTCAAAAGCTAATTGGTATTAATTAGATAGACTCACAATTTCCTCCTCTTTTCTTTTATAAACTCCATTACAATGTTTCCCAATTGCTTCAAGTCGACGGAGATGTTGGATAGTAACTCCCGTTACCCGCATGCCAAGGTAATGGGTGAAAAATGCATATTTTATTTCTTTATTTTATTTTATTCGATATTGAGAGGATTTTAATGAATGTTTTATTATTTTATGGTGAAAATACAAGCTGAATAACTAATGTGTAATATAAAAACACATACTGTTCATAGAAACAATTTGGACGGATTTATATTGAAAAAGCAAAAAGTGACCCCTTTTTCACCAGTTTTATCTAGACAGAGCAAGGAGGGTGGAGGAAAGATTTTGCGCGGTTCGTGACCCGTTTGTTAGGATTCTGCTCCGACACACACGTAGCATTAATCAGAGAAACCACGAAAAGCTACCGATTTTCTGGCCGATGCATTTCTCCTCCAGGGTTCTGCTGAATGCGACCTAGTTATTAAGCTAGTGTCAAAAATCCTTCCACCATCCAGACTCAAACCCTAGAATCTCCTTGTCAGCAAAGCTGCAGAGTCGACGATAATGCGGTCATTAAGCTATCTGACAGTTTCGCCTCGTGGGTATGGAGTTATACGCTAGTAAATCCGCAACTGATGTGTTGAACATAGGGAGGCAGGTTCAAATCACACTGTTGGCGGACTGCCCATACAAACTAAAATGTCCAGATGAGCAAAACCTCTGTCTCAAAATAGTAGAGATGAGAATTATTTATGAGTGCAATCCGTGAATAATATTGATCCGTTTCAGGTGAATACCGAAACACTACCGTTTCGCGCGCCACGTCAGTGTCTTCATCCTTTACGAACGCATTAATGTTTTGATATTTTGAGAGAAGTTGATTGATTGATTGATTACTTTTGATTCCGAACGCATCAACTATTTAGGTCATTAGTCCCGTACGTGTAGTACATTTATTTTGCTCCGAAGGGGGCGATGATGTTCCCCCGCTGTATAGCGAGATTTAGCGCCGACCTAGAGGGCTTTTGAAGAACCAGGTACCTCCCACCAGGGGTCATCCTCAGACGGGACCATCTCTAAGCTCCCAAACGGTCCTGGTAGTGTAATTTATGCGAGTGTATGTAAAGAGTGAGGATAGGACAAGCAATGATCTCACGTGGCCCGTGGCCCGTTTGCTAGGGTACTGTTCCGGCATTCGCCTGGTATTGATTGGAAGAAAACCACAGAAAACTTCCAATCACATCAGCCGACTGCTAGATTTCTCCTCCAGTGACACAGCTATCTAGTTAGCGACGGAAATTCTGCCCCGTC